TACACAATATATATATATATATATATATATATATATATATATATATATATATGTACATGAAAATATACGTTTATATATCATCTGTATGGAAAAAAGAAAACGTCCTTTCAAACTTTTTTAACTAAGATAATTGCACTGTGCCCGGAATGTTACTTGAGTTTCTAGTTTACAAAGGAATATAAAAAAGGATATAAAAAAATTATATCGATATAAAAAATTATATATGCGCTCAGCCGTTATTGATGATCATTTAATTTGATTTCAGTGGGTCGGTCAGTGATATACGTTGCCAGATAACGTTTGCGATGTATAAACTGTTTTGAATCACTTTTTTTCAAACATATTTGATGCTTGTTACTACTGGATAAATATCAAAAAGGAAGAGAGAGGGAGGCGGGGGAGGGGGAGGGAAACATAGAGTGTATCTTGCGAATGAAAAAAAGTAAAATCGCATTAATAGAACAAAACATTTCTTCACTCTAAGAAGAGAATTATAATTGTACTATATGATTGTTCTGGTAATTAGCCAGAGAGATATTGAAAATCTTCGTAAAACTCGAGAGATTGCCCACTCGCATGTAGCCGACCCACTCGCGGTCCTCGTATATAAACGCATTGATGTATTCTTGTTGAATTATTAATACCATTGTAACATTTACTGTTATAACAGTATCTCATTCATGTCTAGTGTTGAGCAGAGCTGATTCTATGCTTTTGCTAGTTTGAAACGAGTCGAGGGATCGTGGTGCATAAACCTCTCTCTGTAACCATTATTCATACAATTTTCGCGATCTTGGGATTTATTACACGATTTATCGAAATGAAAGAGCAAAAAGAAGAAAAAGAATAAAGAGAATCAGTGCTGGCGAGAACACGAGGCAAGACGGAAAAAATTATCGTAATTCTAAAATCACACATTTAAACTACCTTTAAAAACGGATATATATTTGGAGACTAGCAGATAAATAATTAATATAAATGTAGTGGCAACTCTATATAATATTACACAAAGAGAAAAAAAGAAAAAAACAATATATATGATGATTATTTGAAATATAAAATGCGAAACTCACTCTTAATGGATGTTATAACGATTTAGAAATATTTAAATTGCATTATTAATATTTTTTGTAAATCTGCTTTTTGGAGTGTAAGTGCTTTACTTGATCTCCTCATGCATATGTATCGCACAGTATGTCGAATTAAATGAAATATTCCTTTCGAAAGAGGAAGAAGGAAGAAAGATGGGAGAGAATATGAGAATGAGAGAGTAGAGTAGTTGATCCAATTAGCAGATAAATTTAAGTTTTCTTTCTCTTTCCAAGAGCATAATATTTAACTCTTCATTTATTTTCTGTTAGCACAATATCTCACAACACACATACACAAGCAAAATTAGAATATTTGAGATTTAGTAAAATCCTCCGTTTATTTATGAAGAAGCCTTGCGCGATGTAAATGTGCGGCTTTTCTACAAGATAACAAACTTTCAATTGAATCTTGTAAGAGACTTGGTATGAGTAGAAGAGAGAGGAGGACGAGAGGAGGTTTCTGGGACATGGTTGGTTAATATTTCCGAAAGTTTAATGATTTATTGAAAATGTGTTGTCATATCTTGAATACAATTAAAAGAATATGAAAAATAACATAATTTGATTAGGAAATGTTTTATCTCCTATATTATTATAATGCTTACACATTTATTCAATATTTATAGTGTGATTTCGTTTATTTAATTATATTATTATTTATAATACTTTATTTAAAAGAAAACGTGTAAAAGATATTAACATATAACTTATAAATTTTTATTTTGACGTAACGCATTTTTCAGAAGAAATTTATTAAAACATTTCTCTTCGTATATACTACTACCTACTTTACTATTACGGATAAACTATAGTCGTATCGGTATTTAAGTTGCTATCTTGAATTTTAATAAAAAAAATATATGGGTATAATAAATGTAAATATAGTTTGTGTCTTCATGAATATGTATATGGAATGTTCGATTTGAAATGACATAATATCCATGTACAGATAGAGCGGGTCAAATATTAAATGTACAGTGTGAGGGTTGATTTATGGAGGCTGTAATCTGTTAACTTATTCCGTAATCGTAAAAAATTGACGAATTATAGTCGATTATTCTTCTATAATTCGATTATGATTGGTCAATTTTTTATGGTTACGATATAGTTAACAGATTATGGCCTCCATAAACCAACCCTGAAGGTGCTGTTCTACGGGCACGGAAAACGGAATCGGAAAGGTGAAATGGTGGGGGACAGCTAATCAGTATCGTTCCGAAAATTTCAAATAGCTTTCCATTCCGATTTAAGAGTCGACAGGAGTGATGGGCAAACTCCGAATAGAGACACTACAATCAGAAACTGACTATGACTCCGCCAATCAGAGACTCTGATCCGCCATGTTTTAGCTAAAAGCTCCTACGAGAAAGAAAGAAATATACACCATTTCACTCTAATCAATAATGATTATGCATGGTGCATTAATTTAAGTATATTGTGCATGTGTATTAAACACGTGGAAAGCTCTGAATATATATATAAT